CACCATCTCGTTTTATAGTCATTACACTGATTTCCCTGTTGTGATAGGTAAAGGAGAATAGTGGTGGAGGTGTAGTGAAGAGTAGCACTCGCACATACATGGTCCAGGGATTGAATGGCGGATCGATACTCGCCCAGGCCATCCGAACCTCCTTCCCTTCGGACGCCCCTATTTGGTACCAGACCCGTCTAGGAGCATAAAAGCACTAGCCTGCACTTCGGGTGGTCATCGCAAGCCATTGTATGAGCCACATTTAAATTCAAAAGTACCAGGACGATTCTGAATGGAAGTCGAATGGGGAGGGGGGCATCCCAGAAAAGGGTTCGATCCTTCAGGCAATAGTTAAAAAGAGAGTGAAGTTTGTCATTAGTCATTAGGCTTTCTCGGGAAGTTTACATAACATTACAAATTATCACATGGAATAACTGATTATCATATGGACATATATGGCGGGAATATGATGTTTTACAAGGAAAGACAGAAATCATAAGGGAACGAGAAGGTAATGGCCGGTGAGAATAATTACAAATAGGTTCACTTTAAATGCTTCTACAGCATAAGCAATATTAATCAGTGATAAGGACCCATATCAATCGAGGAAATAAATCAAAAGTCAATGTAATTGACGATAGTTCCGAGTGGTCGCTTCATATACCCGATGAACGAAATGGTGAATACTGAGGAATGTTCGGAAGTGGTTTCATTGCAAAGAAATCCTCTTGTGAATATTGAGACTGATGGGGGTCAAAAACCAAACGGGGCTGCTGAAATGAACTGGATATGCTGCTGAAGCTCAAAATATTTCGTTCTTGCCTTACAGCTGCCAGATTACGGTAGATTACTGTACTATCATTCTGAACATCCTTCCAAACTTATTCCTTCACGTAATTCAGAAATTCTCGTCTCAAAAGGCATGAAGAAATAAATAAAGATCAATCAATCAACTAAGTAAATAATTAGTAATCAAAAATAAGCACAAACACAGTGATAATAATTGAAAAACAAAATTGTGAGTGTCTGAAAAAAATTTTTGACTGACTTGTTCTCGCATTCGTTCGACACTGCCATAGTTCAACCGAGGTTTCCGAATCGTGTTGATAGTATAGGCTAGTGATAAACATAGTGAGAGTAAATAAAAAACAATGCCAAGAACGGCAATATAGAATGAGTATCCACGATGTTTCTGAAGAAAAATACATAAATAATGGCACTACTGCAGTTCCACAAGCCCAGCGTAAAAGGAAGGGTATCGCTGTGATGTTTGTTGTCTTCAGGGGTGTATTGTGGAGAATAGCCCCTTACTTAGTCTCTGATAATCCTAAAATTGCTGGCGATTTACTCCAGTTTACCGTACAGATCTACCAGTTAGAAGTAAGCTCATCTCTTTCTTCACTACCCCCTCCAGAGCGCAATCAGTGAGCTATCTCCTTCATTGTTAAAGGAGCTGATGGCCGTGCACGATTCGGTGGACCTTGACTATGGAAATGTGCATGGTCCGCGCCGAAGCCGAGACGCTGTTCCAAATTCAGAGACCCCAAAGGACTACCTCCAGTTGTGAAAATATGCAGGGATCTCTTTGTCCGAACACTTTTTCAGCCTTTTCGCAGCCATCGTACGTGGTAGTACGTCCTATTTCCACGGATTGCGAAGAACAAAGTGGTTGCAAATTATTAATATGCTGATAAAAGGTGTGCCATTGAAAGGGTGTGGGATGTTGCACCCGAACAGCGCTTACCCGCCACGTGTCGGGTGCGCAGTCCAGGGCAACATTTCAATTCTCTGGGTATGATCACCGTAAAGCCACGAGGCCACTGCCACGTGGAAGCCTGAGACCATGGGAATCCATGGGCACAAGTCTAAAACCATATAAAAACGCGATGTTGATCGACGGATCAAAGAAGATTCTTTGTGAGGAGTTGGTGAGGAATATTTGTAACTATACTCATATACTATAGTATACTGTAACTATACTCATCTTTCGGAAAGGGATTTATATTAATGATCAAGTGACCAGGTGAGAACCAACATAATGCTCCCCCTCCTTACCCAAATGCCCAACAGTCTTTTTTGTGTGGTGACAAGACCCTTTTTTAGTTCATTTACAACATACTTCGTAAATTCCGCTGACGGATACTTGAAGGAATCGGTAATCAACCATTGTTGAATAAATAGCAAATGTGACAGCAGCACCAACACATAGGAGAGCTGGAACAGAGCGATGATACCATCTCATATTCATATTCATCGTTTACGAAAAGATTACTGACAGTCCTCACTAACTTTTGAAGTTGGAGAGAATTAAAACCCAATTAATTACATACAGTAGCGCTCAAAAGTCTTCGGTGAAATGCATTGAC